AGCTTTTCTTCTCTGAACATATTGTGTTCATCTTTGGAAAAACCTCCTTCTGCTTCTGCTGAACTTACAGCAATTGTTCTGACAACATTTGGAGCTCTTTGAACACCTTCAGGAATTGCAAAATTCACTCAGAATACCTGGTGGGAATTTGGGATGTAACACAAAGCTGAAACAAACGGCAGCGTGTCAGCCTCTGGTTGTTTGGCACTTTTTCTCTTTATGTTCCATGTTTGTTTACTGAAGTAACAAATGCAAGGGAATAAAAATGTAGTATTTCATCAAAAGCATAATGAGTTTTATTAAATAAATATTAGAAGCATAGTTCTAATTTTATATATCTATGGACAGAAGGAACATGACTACGGGAACTGAGAATGCAGTCGTACAGATGAATGTTAAGAAAGAGTAAGGAATGTAAATTTGTGATTTCCACATTACAGACCACCTTAGAGAGAACCGGGATTACTAGTGCCATTTTAACAACCAGCATGGAACAGGCTGCATCCCACCACTGCCTCTATTTTACCAAGCATGGTGTCATCCTCTAGTGATTGATCCCTTGCCTGTCTAAAGCCTGTGAGTTAGGCAGTTTTCTATGTCTAATGTTAAGTAGATTACAAAGTCCTTTCCTAGTCCGTCTTAGTTTGAAAGCGCTACTAAAATCTATCCACCATAGATGACCCTGCTGATCTTTGAAATATTGGTGGCATGGCATCTAGAATTGTAGAATCACACAAGCCACCGCCATATGACAAACTGAAAGACAGGTGGAGTATTCTGTCCAGCAACTGGCAACTATGAGCCATCTTTCCATGAAAGTTTCATTTTTTCTGGTGTCTTAATCATTTGCTGAGCTAATATTGTATAGATGTGAAGGGCAGAGGAACTCTGATGTATGATTAAGGGAAATATTCCAGTTAGAAGGGCTTAGTAAAAATTTAAAATAATTTTATGCCCAAGTTACATCATGCAAACCAACAGGGCGTAAGTCATGTAAAACACTGGGCCAGAAAGGACTCCAAACATTGTGTATGCTTTAAGGGTTCCCTGCTCATATTTTAAATGTATAGGACATAAGACTTAGTTTAAGGTATAGTACTGGTTATTATGTCACATACCAAAAAATGTATATATTGAAGCATAAAAGCTAATGCAATACCTGAGGAGATGGACATAAATTTATAACCATGTTATTTATGAAGAAATTTCAAAAGGAAAGACCATAGATGCCATATAATCTTTCTCTCCTATTTTGTGTGAGTGAAAATGGAGACCTAGAGAAGTTATGACACAAGATTGTTTTTGTTTTTTTTTTCTTTTTAAACGTTTTATTAGGGGCTCGTACAACTGTTATCCCAATCCATACACACATCAATTGTGTAAAGCGCATTTGTACATCGTTTCTCAAAACATTTTCTCTCCATTTAAACCCCCAACATTAGGTCCTCATTTTTCCCCTCCCTCCCTGCTCCCCCCTCCCGCATGAGCCCTTGATAGTTTATAAATGGGTATTTTGTCATGTCTTGCCCTGTCCGACGTCTCCCTTCATCCACTTTTCGGTTGTCTGTCCCCCAGGGAGGAGGTCACACACAGTTCCATGTAATCGGTTCCCTCTTTCCTACCTGTTCTCCCTTTACCCTCCCTGTTTTGCCACTCACACCACTGGTCCTATAGGGCTCATCTGTCCTGGATTCCCTGTATTTTCAGTTCCTATCTGTACCAGTGTACCTCCTCTGGTCTAGCCAGTCTTGCAAGATAGAATTTGAGTCATGGTAGTGGGAGCGGGGAGGAAACCTTTAGGAACTAGAGGAAAGTTGTATTTCTCATCATTGTTACATCGCACCCTGACTGGCTCATCTCCTCCCTGAGACCCCTCCACAAGGGGATCTCCAGTGCCTACTAATGGGCTTTGGATCTCCACTCCGCATTCCCCCCATCATTCACTATGGTAAGATTTTTTGTTCTGATGATGCCTTTCACATGCTCCCTTCGACATCTCGTGGTTGCATAGGCTGGTGATGACACAAGATTGTTATGTAGGTGCAGTCAAGATGCTTCTGCCTCATAGCAACCCTATGCACAACAGAACGAAACCCTACTCAGTCCTGTGCCACCATCTTCACAATTGCTATGTTTCAGTTGGCTGTTGCCATCACTGTGTCAACCCACCTTGTTGAGGGTCTTCCTCTTCTCCCTCTCTACCAGGAGACTCTACTTTCAGAAGGCAGCTCTTCCTCTGTCATATTTTGAGTGCCTGCTGACCTGCGAGGATCATCTTCTGGCACTGTCTCTATCTGCGGCTATTCATCAGGTTTTCAGTAGGCAACCGTGTTTTGCTGCTATCCATGAGGTTTTCAGTGGCTAAATCCTCTGAAGCAGACAGCTATTCCTTCTTTGTAGTCTGTTCTTTAGTCTGAAAGCTCTGCTGGAACCTGTTTACTGTGGGTGACTCTGCTGGTATTTGAAATACCAATGACATAGCTTCCAGCATTACAGCAACACACAAACCACTACAATCCAACAAATTGACAGACACTATTAGGGTAAGTCAAAAAAGGATTGCTACCAGGGCTCCTAGTTCATATGCACATGAGTTTATTCCCAAACAAAAGATGTTTAAACATGTGCTGCGACCAGTGAGTGAAGTGCACGTAAGTTCTCTGAGTGACACACTTGTGTTTGTCTCCTTGGGGTACCTTCTGAAAATGATCCAAGGAAAGCAGCAGCTTTTAAGGGGATCTCTGTGTCAGTTAAATTCAAAGCAAAGACATCAGCTCAAATTTATGAAGATTATTTTTGAGATTCCACATAGATATTCTTGACAAATTTTCTCCACGGAAACAAGACTGTCATTATGAAGACACCGAACGAGACACTTATTATGAAGATGTTTGATGAAATATGAAAACTTAATTCAGAAAAGGCCCACCCCACAACCACCTAGACTGTAAATTCCCGGAGTTTTACTCCTCATTATACCCTAAGCAGCCAGCCTGGCAAGCATCTGATAGGTCATCAAGAAATATTAGTTGAACTGAACTGATTTTCTTTCAGACTTTCACCATGACCTGACCTTTTGCTTTTGTTTAGCTTCCCCTCCACCAACCTCAAAGTGCTTCTAATTTCCGTTCCATAATCAAAGATTAGTTTCTCACCTCACAGCTTTTGTCCAAGGGATCGTATTCCTTTTCTATCCTCCCCACTGAACACTTTGATTCATTCTAAGGAATCATTTTCTCCTGGAATTTTTTCCTGGCTCATGCCTTCTCCTTTATTGGATTGTTTCTCCTCTACACTCCCAATAGCTCTCTGTGTATGTATCTCGACATTGCAAACACTCCATCCAAATTCTATGTTTCATTCATCTGGGAATCTTCCTTCAAGGTTAGTTTAGTCTAGGGCACTTAAAGACCCCCAAATGAAGCACATTGCTATCTAGCTAATTCCAACTCATAAAGACCTTATTGGACCCAGTGCTTGTTGTCAACAGGACTTCCAAGTCTGTCCTCTTTCTGGAAGCTCCCTCTGAGCAAATGGTTGATCTGTATACACTGACCTCTTCATTAGTGGCCAAGTGATTTAACTCTTGCACCAGGGTCCTTGCCTGGTGCCTAGCAGATAATACAGTAATGTGATTTGAATGAAAAGAACACGGAACCAGAAGGAATCTTGCTTGGCACAAGGTGTATCTGGGGGAAAGCATGGAGAAGCGCAGATGTTAAGTATGTTTCCCTACAATATGTAAACACACAAGGGACCGTTGTGATTTTCTTCCTTTCATTAATTAGTTTAGTAATACATAGAACTTTATGCACCACAGACAGCTCTATGGAATTTGGATAGAAAAAAAGAATGAAGCTCTAAGCTCTGGACATAGTCTCAGGAACTCCAGTGACAATTCTACTCTGTCCAGTAGTTGGCATGGACTCAAAAGCAGTGGGTTATCCAAATCACGGACTGTGCATTGGAGTTTAAGAACCATGACTTCACTTTGATGGCCCCTGCTTCCTCCTTTGGAAGTAGAGGGAAAAAGGGGCGTCGTCAACCAAACAAGCATAGTAGCGGCCACATCTTGCCCCAAATGCAGCAACTCGGTCACGAAAGGCCGTGACTGTGGCCTTTCAGCAAGGATCCTCCATAGCTTCTTTTCCTCTGAGTAAATGGACGGGATCAGGGAACCCTGTCTTCCCAGGAAGTAAAAGTGACGGAACACAGAGTTTTTATTACTCCCGGTTTTTTTCCCCTCCCTCCTCTGATCCTCCACTCCTCATCTGGTTGTTTGCGTCCTGGAATCCATTCTGACTCATTGCGTTCCTGTAAGGGAGGGTAGGACTGTCTTGTTTTTCCCAGGACATCTTCACGGGAGCCGAGCGCCGGGTGTTTTGTGGATTTGAACCGATACTGCTAACAGGAGAGCGCCTCGCCACCGTGCCAGGAGAATTCCTTCACTTCCCATCCCCAACGGCTCCCACTTGACAGTCTCCTGGCAGCGGGGGCCGCGCACGTCATTGACGCAAGCCTCCCGATCGATCTCGCGGGAACTTGGGAGCGGGAGCAGGCTGCAAACCAAACTCTTGCCCTCGAGTGGCTTCAGACTCGGAGCCGCGCCGTAGGGCCGAGTGGGACGTCCCCAGAGCTTGACTGGGCTCGTCATCTTTACCGCCCACACCTCTCTCTCGCTGGTGGGCGTAAGCCGCCCACTTCGGGCTTCACAGCCAGCGCTTCCTCACGGCACCACCAGCGACCCTTTGGAGCAATCGAGGACGGACGAATCTCCCGAAATCTCCGTTGTGGACGCGATCGAGCCTCCGAAGGCACTGCGGGGCGTGGAAAGGGTGGGGCGTCGGCTCAAAAAGGGGAGGAGCGGGGCCTACGGGAGGGGGCGGGGCGGGCGCACGTTGGGGACCAACTGTTGAGCGCAGGTAGAGCCGGCGGGTCCGCACGCCCACAGGACTCGAGCAACTGCGCATGCTCGCCGGCCGCGCCGGGCCAGCCGCCGAGCGTTGGTGACGAACCGGCTCTGGGCTTGCGGTGGCTGGGGTGGCCCGGGCGATGTGAGGGGTCCCCGGGCGGGATGGTGCAGACCTGGGTAGGGCCGTCTTCCAGCGGGATAAGTGCCTCCGACCGACAAGCGGTGGAAGAGACCGACGGGCGAGAGGTAAGCGCCTAACTGTCCTCCTCGGCTCCCGACACCCAGCACCCGTCCCTCCCTCCCTCCCTCCCTCCTTCGGTCCCTCCGTCCCTCCTTCCCGAGGGCCCCGGCAGGAAGCGGCCTTCTCCTCATCCCCGACTCACCCGCTCCGGTCCCTTTCCCTGCTGCCCCCGTCAGAGCCCGGCCCGGGCCCGCCGAAGGGCTGAAGGTCGGTGGGGGACAGCGGCAGGGGCACCCTCCCGGAGACCGAGGGCCTCGGCGGGCCTCTCGCCGGACACCCCCTGCCACCCCTGCCTGAGGCGAGTCCCGGGGCTGGCCCTTCCTGCACCTCAGCCGCGGTGTCCCAGCATACGCCTGCCCTTTGCCCCCGGCTCCATCCTCGGCTCTCGGTCCGCCTTTCCGTCTCGCACCTCCCACTGCCTTTGCGTCCCGGTGGTCTCTCCATCGGAGGCAGCCCGCCCCTCCGCACCCCCACCCCCAATTTCTTCCTCGCTGCATCTCCAGGCTGGCTCTATCCCAGCTGGCGCTCCTGACCGGATTGCTCACCCCGTTACCTCCATTAATTCCTTCCTTGGCTCTTTTTAAAAAAAATATTCCACCTCTTAGTACTACGTCTTCGTTCTCTTTTGTTAGTTTCTGAATGTGTGTTTGGCTTTAACTAGGTTTTGCCCTAGAGTTCATCCCCCCACCCCACCCCCCGCTTAAGGGGGCCTTTATTATTTGCTCTGTCTTGGTGCCCTGCTTCGTTGCATTGGCTCTAAAGGCCCCTCTCCCGTTCTTGACCATCACAGCTCCTCCTCCAAAAAACTTTTTAAAAATTGCATCGGTCCAGTTTCTTCATTCCAATCCATTTACTTTTTTGTAAGCCCTGTAGAGTTCTCACATCCTTGTAGCCTGTATTCTGCCTAAACTAAGCATCTTCTCAATATTTTGTCTTCAGCTTCCAATTTAATAAAATCTCTTTATCTTCTTCATTGACTAATATATCAACTGAGTGCCAGTAGCATTTAAACCAATTACACTTACTGATCGAAGCATCAGTTTTTATTTAGGAATTTTGTTTACCTGACAAGTACAGACTTGATGAACGTATAAAGGGTTAAGATTTTTTTAAAGCTGACTTTCATTTTATTGTATAGGTTTTCATATTCAGACATTTTACAATTATTGTTTAAAATAAAACTTGGTGCTTTATACATTTGCATCTGTAGTGGATGGCTTCATTTCAATGGCTTTTTCTAAGGGTCTCTGTTCACTAACAGTTGCGTACAATTTCTGTTAATTTTAAGAACAGTTACTGTGTTTACTGAAGTAGAAATATGTGAGCAGTTTTATCAAGTTTCTGAATTGGGCGATAGAACTTATAGTGGTTCTAAAATTTGTGATCAAATTCTATTTTGTGTGTGTAATCAAGAAAGACTATAAATACAACTCCCGCTGAATAATGGCATAGTACCCTATTTTGAAGGCATCTACTGAAACAATTACTTTTAGTCAAGTTACCCTTTATTCTTAGGTTGAAGATTACCTAAAATGTTTTTGTAGATTTTTTCCTGGGACCTCAAAGGAGTTCACAAACAGTAATTTCTTCTTCATGTTATCTATGCCAGGTAGGAATTCACTTTCTCTCTTTTTTTTTATGGAAGGAAACCAGCAAGGCAAAAAAATGTAGTTGACTCATTCAAAGTGAGGCCAGAGATAAAAGTAGAAACAGACACATTTAATCCACACACCTTAGAACCAGCAGCTATTGTGTATGGTAGGGGGTGATGAATTCCTCAGCTTTTGTTTTGTTTGTTTTAAAAGATTTCTTCTGATGCATAAACTCACTCCACTTTGTTGTGTTAAATCATCAGTGTGCGAGAATTGGGCCACACCCATCTTTGGTTGTAGTCTTCTTCCACTTCCACTTACCATTTGGTGGGTATCCTCATAGGGGTGCCACCTTCTGAACATGCATGGCACAGTGAGTTCTCCTTCCCCAACATACCTTTCCCATCCTGTGGAGCCCAAAGGGGTTAAGGATGGAGGTAGTCTGGTGTTGCCTGAATGGGACAGCCCCTGCTTATCTTTCGTACACCTTGGCTCGACAGCCCTGTGCATCTTTCCTTTTACCTCCTCCTACCAACCTTCCGAGCATCTTTGGGACCTCACTTAGCTTCCTCTGCCCACTGGTGACATTTACCTTCCAAGGCCCTGCATCCTCTGTGGCCAGATCAAGACATCACAGATGGACAGGAGAAGGTATCCTATGGCTGGTGGGCCACTCTCCCAACGGTAGTCCAGTTGTCTCTGGTGCCTCTGGTATGTTGTTCAGAGTGGCCTGCAGAGTATGGTCCAGCCTAGTCATATCTCCTAGTGTGGTTCCGTCCATCGGTGGCACTGCCTGAGAATTTTTTCGGTTGTTTTAACTGTGCAATGTTGCCTGAGAAGTAAATGCCTACAAATTTGTGTGATATTTTTAGAGTTGATTTTGTGGGCTTAGAAGTTAAACTAAGATTTAGTGGTGAATTGCAGTCACAGGAGTAGCAGTAGAAAGATTTGAGGTCATATTATTACTCATGACATTACTTTGTTGAAGCCACTTAACCTCTCTAGTTTGGTGTCTCCACCTATAAAATGTGGGTAATGAGGGTGCTACCCAATAATCTTCAGTAGCAAAGTAAGCCCTAATTATTTTAACATATTAGTGCCACCACAGACAAAAATTGCTATATAAATATTTGGGATATTTTATCTCTCTTAGACTATATGTAGTAAGAGTATCGTTAGACTGCTTAAGCCCTACATCCAACTGGACTTTAGATAATTTTTTTGAAAGTTTCAAACTTCTGTGAAAAGTCTAGTTCAAACTGCCGACCTTTAGGTGAGTGGGGACTGTAGATCAGCTTAAATTAGGAAATGTTCCTATACAGTGAAGCAGACGCTGCAGCACCCACTACGTAGGACAACTGTATCCTTTATTCTCTAGGAGTTGACACTGTAAGATGTCAGAGTGAAATTTACTTTTTGAGTTAGCTCCATTCTTTTCTCTTGTCTTGTGTTTTATAAAGCATTGTATGTTCTATATATGCCGGACGGGGTTGTTCAAGGGATAGACAAGTAATGATTTTCTATGTGTAGGTATTGGGGGAAAACTTCTAAAAGTGGGTTTTGTGATAATGTACCAATGAGACTGTAATAAATGGGTGGACATGGGGATATACAAATTTGAAGTTAAGTAGTGTTTAAGATTTATTTTCTTTCTATCAAGAGGAGTGGGGCGAGGTATGGCAGAACAGAAAAAAAATTGAGGGTTTAACAGGATATTGTTTATTTCATCTCTTGAGATCGCCTCTGTAATATTTATGTTTCTTTTAAAACAAAGAAGACGAAGAGGGGCCCTAGTGGTGCAGAATATAAGCTGCCAATCATAAGGTCAAGGGTTCAAATCCACCAACTGCTCTGAGGGAAGAAAGTTGAGGCTATCTGCTCTGTTAAAAATTTACAGTCTCAGAAGCCCCATGGTGTAGTTGTTTCTCAACCTTTAGGGCAGTCATTCTCACCCTGTGGGTCATGCATGACCCCTTTGGTGGTCAAACGACCCGTTCACAGGGATCGCCCGATTCATAACAGTAGCAAAATTACAGTTGTGCAGTAGCAATGAAAATAACCTTATGGTTGGAGAGTCACACAGCATGAGGAGCTCTATGAAAGGGTCGTGACATTAGGAAGGTTGAGAACCACTGCTTTAGGGTTTCGGGGAGTTGGACTCGCCTGCGTGGCAGTGGGGTTTTGCTGCTGTTTTTATCAAGAAGGTTTAGGATAAATTGCAATAAGAACCAAGGTGGGACCATTGGGGGGAAAATGGTATGCTGCCGAAGTTTCAAAGCACAATTGTTAGGAAGATCTATTTTGGGTTTTTTTGTGTTTGTTTTTTTTCCCAGAATAAAGTAAAGCACCTCTGGGCTTCATCATTTAATTTTTAGAAATGGGCAGTTCTTAACCAAACTCTTACATACTTGGTTACCAAAGGGGTGCTAAACTAAAAGAATTAGCCTTTTTTTTTTTTTCCTTAACAGGGATATAAAGATGTCAGGCATACAGTACAATTAAGAAATCTCTCCCGTTTGAATAACTCCAGCCAAATCACCCTTGCTGCCATCAAGTCAGTTTTGACTCAGAGTGAGCCTGTTAGGGCAAGCATAGCTTCCCCCTTAGGGTTTCTGAGGCTATAAATCTTGGTGGGAGCAGAAAACCTTTCTCCCTTGGAGTGGCGGGTGTCTTCAAACTGCTGCTCTTTTGGTTAGCAGCGCCACTCATAACCCATCAGAGCTCCTGAGTAAAAACCTGAAGTGGTTTTTTTATTTTGAAGAAACAATCTTTATGAATTGTCTCTCCACCAAAAAGCATCTGAGAAAATTATAGCATGTTTCCTTTTATGGGATTAGATCTCCATCAGACCATCCAAGAACATAGAAAGAATTCATAATTATATTATTAATATATCAAAGCCATAAGGCTTGAGTTTATTGGCAGTCAAAATTTAAGACCTTGGAAGTCTATAATCCCTTCATTCCTTTTTGTCTTTTGAAATCAGAAGCCCCAGTTTTTAAAACTATCCTCATCCTTACTCAGGTTTACCTTCACATTAAAAATGCGTTATTTTCCTCAGACAGATAAGGTTAGAATATAAGCTGTTCCAATCCCTCTCTGTAAAATTAATAACCATTTTTGTCAAAATATTTTTATTAGTAACCATTGTATATACAAATTTAATAAAGACAATATGAAAATGCTGGTCATGGGTTTCATTTTGGTAAAAGAGTCCTGAAATAGTCCTTTCAGTAATGGGAGCCAAAGAACTGACAGTAAGGAGTGATGTAGAAATTTTTTTAAATATAGAGTTTTGATTTATATCCCTACCATCCAAGAAGATCTTAATTGAAGCCAACCCTTCTTCCTAGGTTCTATGGCCTGTGATTGAAAATATTTTCAAGCCATGCAATTGACACTTATGCCTGGGC